ACAATGTGGTACATGCAAAATCAGAACCATGAACTGGATGTTCAGAACATACAAAGGATGGTCAACTATCCCAAAGAAGGTGCAACTTTGCTGAGCCAAGCTGAGCTACGCTGAATTGATGATGAAGCTGTCCCAGGGTGAGACAGGATGGGAAGAGGCTTGAGATGACCAGATACTCAGATGCAGACAGTTGAAACTCAATTCACTAACATTAATAATAAAATTGCAGAGGCAAGCTGAAAAGTATAATCCAGTCATTGTTCCCCCACCACAAGCCATAGCAATCTGCAGGGCTTCCATGGTGCTCTGATCACCACATCCCCGTCCCCCAAATACTGACTCCACCAAGAACCAGACTCAAAAGAATATTCTGCCCTTTTCAGGCACTAGCACGTGCACAAACACCCAGCGTTTCCCTCCCTCCACCCACTAATCCTGTTCCCATCACTACCACTACCCTCCTGATTCTAATGCAAGCACCCAGCAGTGAGCCATCAGGAGAAACAGGGTCCCTCCCTCTCTCTCTCCCCCTCCCCACCCGCCCCCTGCAGAGCAGAGGTGGAGAGGCTTCTGCTCCATTTGGAGTTTTAAAGAAATTCTGACTTGGGGTTAAATCCAGACTGCACCAGTTATTAACTTTGTGATCCCAGACAAGTAACTTAACCCCTGTAAACCTCATCATCTTCATGGGAAAAATAGGGACATTATAGATACCAGTTCACAGAGTCATCATGAAAGTTAAATAGAGGATGCACATAAAGTACTTGACTGCATAATGTTTTGCTAAATAAACTTAGTGCTCACAGTGTCAGCTGTTGCTACAGGAAGAGAAGAAAACTGCATCTTCCCTAGGCCTCTGGAGCACTGCTGCTAGAGGCAAACCACCCTCCCCCCTACTCACCCGGGAACAAACCAGTGTGCAGCCTGCAGAGGACTTCTTTTTTGTTTGCTGTTTTGATTTAGGGTCTCACTATATACCCTGGATCTCACAATTCTCCTGCCTCTGCCTCCTGAGTGCTAGGATTACCATATCTGTGCTGCAGGGGACTTCTAATCAGTCTGCATTTCCTGGTATCTGAGGGATGTGGGAAAGATGGAAAGGAACTTCCTGCACATGAGGAATCTCTCATCCCATAATGCTGAACCACATCAGGATAAATGCTACTTCAAAAGTATCTTAGGAACCTGGAGATCAGCATTTGATTCTTGAATTTGCAGAGTGTCTCTCTGAGGAGCTTCTTATACTTACCTTCGTTTGCTATGTTCCATTTGCTGGCTGATGGTATTATGCTAGGTGCTTTGGAAATAAAAGTGTAGCAATGACCCCACCCTCAAAGGGTCACTGGACAGATTTGATAAGACTTGGCAGGAGGGAGCAGTTGGGGACAAATTTCTGTTCTGATGGTAAAGAATCTGGGACCCTCAAAAGTTAAATCATTCAAAAACTCTACTCCTAAATCCTGTACCTTATGTAGAGACCTACAGTGAATAGTGAATCCTTTCTACTTTCTCAATTCTTGCTCCCTTAATGGAGTACTGGGGATTGAACTTAGGGCCTCGTGCTTGCAAGGAAACATTTAGGAAGTTGATAATGCTATTCCAGGATTGCATGACAATAATCCTATGACAGGCTAAAACCTGCAATGTCAAAGCTTCACAGCTCAAGAAGTCTGGAGGCAGAGTGTGGACCTGAACCTGGGTCTTGTGACAACAAATCCCTTGCTCCCTCAATATGTACATACTGTCTGAGACCAAGAACAGCCCAGCCATACTCACCATCCGAATCCGTTCATCTTCGAGATTCCTGAGGACAGTAGCAAACTCCTGCAAAGACCTTGCTGAAAGAGAAAAAGAGGCCATGAGTAGAAGGAGAGTAATGGGTCTCCAGAAGCCTTTCCAGCTCCACTATTAAGCTATGGATTTAAATTCCTGTATACACAGATGCCTAAAACCAACTGCTTCCTACAGCTACCTTATCCTTTAATTATTAGCCATTAACGACAGTATGACCCAGAAACGCAGGTTAACTGCACCTGGCACTCTAGCTGGGGAAGGATTTCTTCAAGGAAGAGACCTGCCTGTTCCTGAGAGTTCCCAGGACTGATGAGATGCTGGCAGGCTCCCAGGCTCAAGGCTGGAAGGGGCAGAGTTCTGCTTAGGACTTGAAGGATTTCCTGTCCAGGACTGAACCTCTTCAATCTTTGCTGTGAGGTTGTGTCAGAACCCAACCCTCTCTTTGGCACTAGAACGAAACAAATAGTGCTGCTGGCATCAGAAGTCACTTCTCTGCCATCTCCTTGGGCTCCTCCTCTCCGAATTCTGAAGCTACTCTTAATAGAATGCAGCTTGCAGCATGACAATTGAAAATGGGTGTTGGCGAGGATGCGGGGAAAAAGGAACCCTTTTACACTGTTGGTGGGAATGTAGACTAGTACAACCACTCTGGAAAAAAATTTGGAGGCTACTTAAAAAGATGGACATCGATCTACCATTTGATCCAGCAATACCACTCTTGGGGATATACCCAAAAGACTGTTACTCCAGAGGCACCTGCACATCCATGTTTATTGCGGCACTATTCACAATAGCCAAGTTATGGAAACAGCCAAGATGTTCCAGCACTGACGAATGGATTAAGAAAATGTGGTATCTATACACAATGGAATTTTATGCAGCCATGAAGAAGAACGAAATGTTATCATTCGCTGGTAAATGGATGGAATTGGAGAACATCATTCTGAGTGAGGTTAGCCTGGCTCAAAAGACCAAAAATCGTATGTTCTCCCTCATATGTGGACATTAGATCAAGGGCAAACACAACAAGTGGATTGGACTATGAGCACATGATAAAAGCGAGAGCACACAAGGGAGGGGTGAGGATAGGTAAGACACCTAAAAAACTAGCTAGCATTTGTTGCCCTTAATGCAGAGAAACTAAAGCAGATACCTTAAAGCAACTGAGGCCAATAGGAAAAGGGGACCAGGAACTAGAGAAAAGGTTAGATCAAAAGGAATTAACCTAGAAGGTAACATCCTTCCTATTATTGCTTATACTCTCTCTACAACAAAATTAGAGATAAGGGCAAAATAGTTTCTGCTGGGTATTGAGGGGGGGAGCGGGAGGGGGTGGAGTGGGTGGTAAGGGAGGGGGTGGGGGCAGGGGAGAGAAATGAACCAAGCCTTGTATGCACATATGAATAATAAAAGAAAAATGAAAAAAAAAAAAAAAAGAAAATGGACGGTCTTCTTTGCGAGAGTTATTTACAAAGGCAACAGGCACTCAGTAGTACAGTAGCCCTGAAGATACTCAGGACACCTGGGCAATGCCAAGAAAAGCATCCATCCACTCACGAGTTACAAGGATGCATTTTCACTGCACAGCTGCCTCTCAGTGTCTTTGCTCATTCCCAGACCCTGGCACTCTGAATGGCAACAGGGATTCAATAAGCATTGTATGAGTGAATTAATTCACTATAACTTTCTCAATTCTTTTTTTTTCCTTGGCACTGGGAGTCAAACCCAGAGCCTTGTGCATGCTAATCACGTGATCTATCACTGACCTACACCCTCTACTTTCTCAATTCTTGCTCTCTTAATGGAGTCAACCAAGATGTTAAACTTAAGAACAATAAAGTACAATAAAGAGACTCTGGCAAAGAAAGGTGTGCCTTGACCTAGCCAACCCTCCACGCTCAGGGCTGCCTACAGAAGGCAGGTGATGATGAAGAGTAAAGCAGCACAGAGTGGAGATAAACAGGACCCAACCTCAGCCTCTCCATAAGGAAACAAAAGAAGAGATGGGGACATGGAGAACTGGACACTGAGCTCCTTTCCCCATCTGAAGGCAGTGGCAGCTACACAGCCTCCAGCCAACTGTTATGAGGCCAGAATGTAGGATCAGTAGAGTGAATTCTCCAACTTTTGAAAGTTGGATTCTTAGACAAATTCAACTTATATGACAGTCAATTTAAAAAATGAGAGCAAACAGAACACTGCTGCATTGTGATCTCAGCCCACAAATAATCATTTTGCGACCTCTGGCCTAATTCTCCTTCTCCTGCATTTACTTTTGCTGTAAGTTCTTACTACTGTGGCTGAGGGAAAGAACATCACAGAACCAGCCAGAAGGAAAACACTAAACAACAGTAAAGAACAGAGCCTCACTGCAAAACCTCCAGCTTTTCCCCTTCCGCTGGAGGGTGAGTGAAGGTGATCCCAAAACACGAGGAGAAGCCCCAGGCCCGAGCCTCCTATCACTGCCCTTCCACTACCACCTACGAAAAGGCCCCTAGGACACTGATAGCTGTGAGGAACAGCGAAGGGTTTGTCTTCCACATGGTTATGACTTACCAATGCACATCTCGTCATCTGTTTCTGCATCTCCTATGCACTGAAATTTAAATTCATTTAAGGAATCTGCAAACTTCCGCTTTGCTGAGGACAAATCTAGCAAGAAAAAGAGGAAAAAACAGAAATTACTGAAATGAAACTGGCTTTCCTAGTTGCTGTCCTTTACAGTCCTATGAATAAAGCAGCTGGCAGATTTGTTCCTGAGACTATTTCAAAGCACAAATGAACATAAACACAAAATAATAAATACTCCTTACAACACGAAGCATTGATTTTCTCTAGAAGTTAACATTTTTGGTACTGACTTTACCAATACTAGTCCTATCTCTACTTCCTCTAGCCACACAGTGAGTCCTGTCATCTCCATTTGACATGGGAGTCCACTGGCCTCCGGAGTCTGGGAGAAAGCCAGGATCAGAGCCAACATCAGTCTGCACAGTTCAGTCTCCTCTGCCAAACCCTCCCTCTGGTCATGTAGCTGCCCCCAGGTCTAACTAAACAATCCAATTCTCTAAGTCCACTTCACAGCACAAACTGACTTTATGGAGGGAGCCTCAGGAAAGAAGGACGGACATGGAACTGCCCAGTATCTATGGAGCACCTGGTCTCCTCTTCCAACTCAAGTACAGATAAAGTCCAAATTGTCTGAACCCACACACACACCATTCTCCCCACAAACCCAGTGCCTGACAAACTTCTACCTGAGCCATTTCCCTGGGTGGCCACATTCATGGCCACCAGGAGAACAAAGCCTGGGAATGTTCTGTATTGGGGTAAAAACACACCCTCCACATGGTATCTATAATGAAAACTCTCTGAAGCCCTTGTCAAGTTTTAAAAATAAGCTTTTGTTTAAGACAGTAATAAAAGCCAATGATCCTTCCTGAGCCCTCAGCTTCTGTGAAGGGTATAAAACCACTGAGGTACCTTTAAGTGGCCTGAGAGACAAGGCTGCTCAGTACAACGTGCTTAACTTAATTCCATGTGCAGTCTTCCTGCAGATTAGGCTAATCATTCAAATTACCCTTGTACATGCTTCCCTCATTGAAGGGGAAATGGCATTATGCTCAAACTTCCAGCGGAGGGAAATGTGAGGCCTAGCTGGTAACAAGGCCTGGCTTTAATAAGATATTGGGGAGGGGGAGGGTGGACTAGCTCTACAGATCAACATAACCTGCTACACAAGAGCATGGATGATGCTCAGCATTGTCTGTCTTAGCTCCCACTTTGTCCCCTGTGTTGGGGCTCATGTTTTTCAACTTTTGATTTTGTTTGGTTTGTCTCCTCTGCTTGCACCCAACAGTGCATCCTGGCCAGGGTGTGCTGAATAAATGTGTTTGGAAACATTGTTCCCAAATCCAACCCCCAGCGTTCATTCCAAGTGCAAGAGCCAGACACAGGCCAGGCTGCTGTTCAGGTCTTTATGCTGGGATCCTGGACCACCTTCTCACAGGCTCAGATGACAGGGCATCCAAGCTAGCATGTCTGTGCAAAGCACTCTGCTCTACACAAGAGGAAGGCACATGAGCATAAAAGAACATAGGCACCAACTTCCAGTTCCTCCCTAGTTTAGTCACTTTCAAGGAATGGTCCTTGACAAAAAAGTCAAAAGATGCTGGCGTGGGAACCTGGCTTCTCTCAAAACTGGCCAGCCTGGGCAGAGGACATCCCTCAGAGCACAAATCACTCTCTGGCAAGTCAAAAAAGAAACTGATGCATCTGAAAATCAGAACGCTGTGGGGAGGAAGGAAAGAGAAGGCTGCAAACAGCAAGAGAACAGAGAGTAAAATTTCAGGGTGGAAGAGAAAACTCTCCTAGAGACCCAAAATGTAAGTGCATGGAATGTGGGTGTGGTTGCACACAGTCTTATTTTAGTTCCAATGCTCCCTCAATCGGAACTCACACAGAGTTATCCTCACACACGCAAAGAGCCTAAGCAAAGAGTATGAACAGGTTTGCTTCTCTGTCCAGCTAACCCTCCTGTTCCTCCCCAATAAGCCAAGAAAGACTTACACTGGAAAATCATCTCAACACAGTGGAAAAAAGGTGAAATGCAAGCCAGGCTTGGGAAAGCTTCCAATATGCACCTGAAAAGCTTATGCTGCCAAACAGCTGCCAATGAGGACCAAGGAGCAGCTCATAATGCACAATGGGGCCTTTCACGGGGGGACCCACTTACCCAGCTGATGGGCAGACGGTAACTTGATTTCACTGTTCAGTGGCAGAGAGCACACCCTGCCACAGCACAAACCTGAGAAGCAATGTGGGCCCCAGGCAGCTGAGAAAAGTGGAAGATGAGGTAATGAGGAATGGTGTGGAGTCAACGCAGTGCTCTGGGCCAGTGAGGACAGCTGGTTGGAGTAAGAATTCCAGTTACTGAACTGTGCAAAGGGGCTTACCTGGGACTTAGTAGAGAAGTCTTTCAGGGAAGCTGCAGTAGACACAAGTTGTTTTGCTAGTTCAGAATCTATCCCCCAGGCTTTGGGACACACCTTAGGCTTCTTTGGGGAACCTCGTTTTCCATTTGCATTCTATGGGGTGCTAGTTATAGGCTGATTAAGCCCAACTCCCACTGATTTCTGGGTTCAAGTTCCAGCTTTGCCATTTATCAGTTGTGTAACTGACCCTCCATTAGGTACAAAGAGTCACCTCATCTGATGCAAGCCGCCAGCCCTACAGGAGAGGTGGGGAGACACACTGCACAAGCACTCTACGTACCACAAAGTTGAGTTCTAAGCAAGGCCATGCTGTTCTCTCCTAACAGATGGACCCTCCACACACAGGACCAGGAAGGCAAGCACGTCTACCTGCATGGAGAGTTCAGAGAAGCTACAGGACTGACACAGGAGCACACAGCCACTAAGAAGACACATGTGACTGCATCAAAGTCCTCTGAACTGAGACCCTTTACAGCATGTGGGAATACAATGCTGCTTCATCCCATTAAGATAGCCCTGTGTTACTGGGGACAATGCAGAAGACATCAAAGTGAAAATACTCAAAAACCACTGCTTGAAATCAGCCTAGGTGCTAAAAACATGGTACATATATACAATGGAATACTACTACTAATAATAATACAGCCACAAAGAAGAAACAAAATCATGTCATTTTGCAGGAACATGGGTAGAACTAGAGATCATGTTAAGTGAAATAAGCTGGATTCAGAAAGACAAATACTGCATGCATTCTGGTTATATGTGAAATCTATACCATAAAAAAAAAAAAGTGAATGTAAAAGGGGGACCGTTGGGGGCAGGGACCAGTAGGATGGGGGGAGAGCAAAAGATGAGGGTTATGAAGGGGTGAACATGATTGAAATCTTTAATTTTAGTATTTTGGGCAGTACTGGGGTTTGAACTCAAGGGCCTTGAACTACCGGGCAGGTACCCTACCACTTGACCCATGTCTGCAGTCCTTTTTTGTTTTAGTTATTTTTCAGATAGGGTCTCATTCATTGCCACAAACTGGTCTCAGACTGCAGTTCCTCCAGTGTAGCTGTGATTACAGATGCACGCACAATGCCTAGCTTGTGGTTGAGATGGGGTCACACTAACTTCTTGCCTGAGATTGCCTTGAGCCACAATCCTCCTGATCTCTACCTCCTGAGTATCAGGAATTATAGGCATGATCCATCACTCCCGGCTAATCAAAGTATTTTATATGTATAAAACTGGAACAATAAAATCCATTAAAAATAGGCACAAGGGAATAAGAAAAGTAATGGAGGAGATGAATTTGATCAAAGCACATTATATGCACGTATAGAAATAGTACTATGAATCCCCTTTGTACAGTTACTATATGCCAATAAAAAATAAAAAGAAACCTCTGCTGCTTGCCTATTTCAAACCAAAAGAATTGATGGTGTCTTCTGTAAATCATTCCACTGGATGTGTAGCTCCCCAAGGATGTATTTCCAGAGCTTTCACAGGTGATGCGCACAGAACTAGAAGGTACACATTCCAGTGAGATGGGGGGGGAGTTGGGAGCAGGGGAAGGCTGGTTGGGCTGGGTGCATGCCCAGTACAGTGGACCCTGCTTATATACCCTCACCATTTCATGTTTGGGCACTGCAAGACACAGCAAGACGCCAAGCAGAGTGAACAATGTTTACTTTGCAGAACAGCTGTTGCTAGAAAAGCAGAATGCTGGCCAAAACAGGGCCAGGCAGTCACCGCCTGCATCCAGGGAGGACAGCCATCTGCCTCTCTTAGTGAAAAGAGCTAGGAGTCCGGGCCTTGAGAGAATGCCTCAAAGCCTTCTGCTCTCTCAGGGTCCAGAGGAACGTGTGCTTCCATTCCTGGAGATGCATGCTCTGTCTCAGCAAATACTCATCTACCCTGTGCTAGCTTCCAGAGCTCTAAGAATAAAGACAAATCCTCTCTCAAAGCCAGAGAGGCCCTTCAGGGTGTGAGCCATCACTTCCCCTCTGGGCTCTAGTTGCTCTGACTTCTGCAGTTGCTGCAGTGTGCCCCCATGACCACCTACCATATGCCTGCAGCTCTCAGTTTTTCACTCAGTTCCTTCTTCCTAGGAAGGAAGCCTCCTCAGACGTTTCTAAGCAGACCAAACTTGATCCTATGTTTTATTCCCTGGTACTGTATACCTCTTCTTCCAGCAATTTGATTGTTCAGGTAATTCTTTGATTCGTGTTTTCCCCACTAGTTAAGTTCTATACAGGTAAGATCATGTCCCTTAGTGCTGACTACTACATTCCCAAAACCCAGTGTGCTACCTAGCTGCTAGCAGGTGTTGTACAAAGAAAAACGGAAGAGAGGAAGTTAGGCACTCCATCCGCCTTCATCAAAGATGAACCTCCCAAGTCCACGTTGGACAAGTGAAAAGACATTAAGTAAGCCAGGAAAAGCTATCCAACCTATGCAAGTCTAAGTGAAGCTTGGAATTTGTAGGAATGTGCTTGCTGCTAACATGGAAATGCCTCCCCTAATGTTGTCTACTGAGGAAGACACAGCTTGGAAGGAGAGCCACCACCAGCAGGGATATTAACCAAAACCTTCTCCATACCAAGGACCTAGAGAGATGAACTACAAACAAGTGACAGAACAACCAATGCCTGGAATCAGAACTAAGAG